TCTTTCCCTCAAGCCATCCTTATCAAGCAGCAGTAGGATTGTGACACATGACATTCCGGTGGGGGTTATTCCCAGAAGATTATGGAATGACTTCAGAGAGCCCAGTGTGCCAGACTTTGATGTAAGCCTCTGTTTTTCTATTCCCTATGGAAAGGGGAGGTTGCAAGTGGAATGCTATTGCTGCGGAGTATACTACTAGTGGGTTTTGGAGAGGGGGTGAAAGGAAAGAGAGAAGGCTGGAGGGTAGAGGTTTGGAGAGGGATGGGACATGGCTTCCATCTTGACAAGAGAGTCCAGAACCTGTAAAAGCAGAACAGGTGGTTACCAGGTATTGCTGTGAAATTCAGGGTAGAGGAAAGGAGGAGCAAAGGACTTGTATGGCTTTAGGCAGGAGCCCAAATCACACAGGTTTAGACTGTTTCAGCTGTTTAGGTACCAAGGGGCCCAAATAATCTCTTTTTCTGAAATTCATGGCCTACCTAGCAGAGTTAGATATATGTGTGTTTCCTCCTGATTTTTAGGTATCCTCTCTATATACTTTTTGACTCCTAACAGACTTGCAAGGAAAGGTCTTTGTGCAAATGTGCTCTTATTTGAGGTTATGGATGTCTGTTACCACTGTAGCTAAGAGTATTTAAATTTTGAAGGCATATGGCTCAGTAGAAACTTGATGTATTTTGTTGTTATTTCAGATTTACACTGATGCAATTCCAAAAATGATTACAATACTATGGGAATCATGTTCTTTCCTTTTTGGCTATAGTAACTATTAACTGCTCAGTAACACAGGTGTGGGTTCATGTGTGAATCTGATCTGTAAAAAAAAACCTATGTGTACTTTATTTTGAACATGGATTTGGGATAGTATGTCTGAAGTATGTCCTCTTATCTAGGACAAGAGCAAATGGCCTCAAGTTGCTCCAGGGGGGTTTATTTAGATTGGGTATTAGGAAAAAATTCTTCACTAAAAGGGTTATCAAGCAGTGGAACAGGCTGCCCAGGGAAGTGGTTGAGTCACCATCCCTTGAGGTATTTAAGAGATGTGTAGGTGTGGCGCTTAGGGGCATGGATTAGTGGTGGACTTGCAGTGTCAGGTTAACAGTTGGACTTGATGATCTTAAAGGTCTTTTCCAACCTAAATGATTCTATAATTCTATGATTCTATAAAGCAATTGCTAGAGTGATGACCTGTTGGTATAATGGGGAAGAGTTCCTGTGTCATTTGCTGATTCTGCTCCCTGCACTCAATACATAACTGAGTCCAGAATAAGATAGAACTGAAGGGAGAAATAAATGTATCACAGTCCAGTCACACATGAAATATTTGTGCAAATGCAGTTCTTTTGGGTTTTTTAGGTCAGTATTTACTTACCCATGCTGAAAACAATGAAGAGTGTTGTGGAGAGAATGAAGAATCTCAGCAATTCCATTGTAAGTTAACGCACTTCAGGCGTGTGTCCTACAGACCTTATTTTATCTTGGACATAGCATGTTTCCCTGTCGCCCAAACTGGTGCCCCTGTGTTGTATCTTACTTTGAAATGATTCAGACATTGGACTAAAGGCACCTGAAGACTGTGTAAGAACTGAAGAGAATGATGGGATTTATTTTAGGATTTACTCTGAAGAGCTTGTCTTGGGCTTCCCATAAAGTGGTGCTTTTTGTACTGAATCCTTGAAAGAACATGGCATTGTGTTGCTACAAGCCACTCTTTATTAGCTGGTAAGAAATTGTGGTCCTTCGGGAATCTAGCTGGAGACTTTCCAGGGGATTTCATGAAAGAAATGCGTATTAAGTGGGTCTTGTGTTACAGGTCTGTGTGAATGAACTTTAGGTAAACTTGAGGTAGGATCTAAAGGAAATCCTACTAATAGCTCCTGGACATCAGCCTGTGCTTTAGACTCTGGCATCGTGGGTTTCCAGTCCACCCTGGGTTTTTGGAGTGCTGATGGGCCTTCCATTGAAGGAAGCCTTCTGCAGTTGGTCAGAAATGGGGTTTGTTTTTTAGTTGATGTTGCTCACAGTCACCAGAATTGACCGATATGAAAGTTAGTAAGTAAGCATAGAGCTTTGGAATACTTTGATTTTGCGGCCAGTTTGATAAATGGGAAATTGTCTGTAAACTGAGAACCCTGAAATTGGGACGGTCTCAGTCTTCCAAGGCTTGGAATAGTTGAGAGATTATCCTGGGTTTCTGGCAATTTTGTACGTGTCAAACATCCAGCAAATACAAGAGTATTTACACTCTTGTATAGTGCTTGTAAGCACTTGAAACACTTCTTCTTTGTCGGTCTTATGGGGTTTTTATTTTTTTCTCTGTCCTTCCTTGCCCCCCCATGTCCTCAGTGAAAGTGCTTACACACAACTAAGCACAGTGTGTTCCTGCTTTGTTTCCAGAGTTGAGGATCTTTTCTCTCACAAGATGGCTGTATGATGGGACTGAACTTTGGTGTTCAGCAACGCTCAGAAGTGGTAGCATATCAATACTGGGCATACCCACCTTCCTAAGTTCCTTACCTCCTGCTCCAAAGCAGGAAAATAAATAAATAAATCTCTGTGAAATAGCTTTGGTAGCTCTAAGGGAGGAGGCAGGCTACATGCATCTTCTACATGCTTTCCTGTTACTAAAGAACAAAAACGTCAAGTGTCACAATTAAATGTTTGTGCTAGATGCATCCTGGTAGTAAAACTGGTCAAGACCAGTGCTGCAAAAAGGGCTTAGAAGCTCTTTCAAATAGTACTTGGCCATTGTTTTGGAGCATTCATCTGTGGGTATCTCCAGTTCTATAGGAGATTCTGGTTGTGCTATGAGCCTCTTTTAAAATTATTGAGAGTTCTTCTAATCACAGAAATGAAATGCTTACATGTGCTTTAGGAATCCTCTGATCTGCTTGGGATTTGTGTAAGATCATATATAGGCTCCTTCTGGTTGGACACTTTGTCAGGATGGAATTTGAAAGCTTTCAGCACTTTTGCAGGATTTCTAGCAGTTCAAAGTCCTGCTTGGAGTTAGTGCTTTGGTGCCGCTGTTGCCTAAGTCTTGGAAAGCAACACTGCAACTGCAGGTCAGCTCTTGGTGCATCCCATTTTCTGTGTGTGTCATATGGACTGTATAGGTGCCTTTCTGTTTTTCGAAAAGCTGGACGGAAATGCAGGAATTCTCCAGCTTCAGTCTCTTATTTCTAAAGCCTTTTCCTCAGCACATGAACTTCACAAAACCAGTACTTTTAGAACAAGTACTGGAGAGCAATTTAATTTCTTTCTCTTCGTAACTCCAGGGAGGTTGTTCTAGTATAATTCACACAGGAATGATGATGAGAAATGTATTTTGTAGTTGAACATTCAAATGTTCAAACCATGTTCAAAAAAGTACAGTTGAGCTGTTAAGGCACTGAAGTGCTTCTGGAAGCTTGTATTTGAACAAAGCTGCGCTTTATTCTTCTGTAATTCTGCAGTGTGAAAGTGACTTGCCTAAAATTGAGATTGATTGTATTGCAGGTGATTGAAGCAAACTTGAGAGGAGAAATGAACTTAAAAATAGAAACTGACTTAGTATCTGTAACAACACATTTTAAAGACTTGGGAAATCCTCCCTGGGGTAAGTTTCCCAGTTTGTTGCCTCTTGTGTCTGTCTGATCTCATTACTTAAGTGTGTTGCTAATAACAGTACTTACCTTCTGTTAGTCCTTACAAAATAGCATCAAATACTTTGAAATCTTCAAATGAAACCTTAAAAAGAAAAGTGGCCATTGTCTGTTTCATGTTTGTGGAGAGAATCTCTTCCAGTATCCTTGACAACTTTGTAGAAAAACTGGGTTTTCTCTTCCTTGCACTGCTGTTTCTGAAAAACAACCCATTTGAGTACCAGCAGTTCAGAAATTATCAAGTGTGTCCTTATAGGCGTTGGAACTTCTTCTGATGTTTTGACTAAGTGTTGTGTTCTTATGCTTTTAGCATCAGAGGATGGATGTCAAAGTTCTGCTCAAGGCAGAGATCCAGAAGGGGTGGCTGAGGCACGCATAGACATCAAGAAGCTGCAGCAGCTGCTTGCTGGACAGCAGGTCAATCCCACAAAAGCATTGTGCAGTAAGTTCAACGGCTCTGCTTGAGAACTCCAGTTAAGGAGGGATGTTTGCCATACTTGTAGTCTCAGCAGAACAGCATATCTTCTGTTTTGTCTGTTTGAAACATGACTATTTTTACTGTACCTGAGGACTTTTAATATTTCTATTTTCAGGCAGTAAGCTTCAGGTCTTAGGCATTTGGGGAAGAAAAAAGCAACATTAAAAATATTAAACCAAGCCCTTTTATAGGTATCAAGTTGAATACTCAGACTGACTAATTATGGGTGTCTTTTTGTTGTCTTTGTTTTGAAGTTGCTATTTTTTAAAGCCTTAAAGCCCCCTGTTTCTAGCAGAGAAACTGGGATTTACTGGCATGTTTGGTTTAGGTTTTTTTTCTCAGATGCTTTCTTACATTCAGCACCAGATTGATTCTAATACTAAAATGCTTTTTATGCAGCTAGCATTTTTAACCATAGAAATGATATGTTCTTTCTAGCAGAAGCCTATGCAGGGTTTTATATCCTATTTTGGTAACTCTGTATGCTTTTCCTGAGAACATCTGTGTGTTATGGTTTAGTGCAGATGCTAAGAATTTCCCAAGGAAAATTAAAATCATGAGTATAGCATTATAGGCCTATACATTATATATTTCCTATTTGGTATCAGCTTTCACAGAGTCTTTAGTAATGCTTCATAGACCCTCAAGGACTTAAATATTACAGGATGATCTGTCTAGTCATCCTTCTGTCAGAAGTAGTAGAAACATTGTATTCTTATGGTGGCATTCTGTAGAAGATGTAATTTTAAAGTATTTTTCCTGCCTAAAATTGGATTTGTGGGGTTTTTTTCCCTCTTTACAGATATTGTAAGTAAAAGAATTGTCCACTTCATCTTGCTCCATGAGGATGTTTCGCTTCAGTATTTTATTCCAGCGCTTGCCTGAATGTTTTGGCATCTCAGTCATTTTCCAACCTGAGGCCTCTTCCATGAAGTCTGAAAACTTTTGTGAGTTGCTGGAGTACTCTCATGTGATATCCTGTTAGATGCAGCCATCAGATGGACATTATTTCAGATGGACTTGATGCTGCTGCATGTTGTGCAGCAGAAACGTGTCTGAGGCAGAGGACCTTCCTGTGGCTGCCAGCATGTAACAGGATGTAACAGTTGCTAAGGAGCACCACCAACAGCTGAGCAGCTTGTGTTTGTACCTGGTTGTATCTTTTGATCTGACTTGTTCCAACATACCTCAGTAGTTATGTTAGTGCTTCAACTGATGTTTTTAGCTCTTGGCCTGAGAGGATGAGATAAACAGTCTGAATTACTTCATTAATGTGGGCAGTGAAGGTCTCTATGTACAGAATGAATATCATATGAGGACGTGTGAACACAGCAGTTGGTGTGAAATAAAGGGCAAGTTATGTGTGGATCGTGTTTTTTCCCCTTTCCAGATGGAAAGCGTTGTACAACCTGTGCTGTCCTGGTGTCAGACATGGTGAGATTGCATCTAGGCTCTGAGTACTGCCCCTGCTTCTACTTCCAGGTTATCTTCTGAGATCCTTTCCTCCTTATTCCACATGTGATTGTTATCCAGCCATGTTCCGTACAGCCTTTGGTGTTCCACAGGGTTTTGAGTGTCTTGTGAAATTTCTTGTTTTAGAAACAGTGAGTGAGTCTTTGCTGCCAAATGGGAGTGGGAGTTTCTGCTAGATAGTAACTCTTGCCATGGTCAGAAGTGGTGTGTTTGTTTTTTGTTTGTTTTGTGATTTTTTTTTTTTTCCCTCCAAGGGGCATTGAGGTTAAGGGAGCAATTAATCTTTCTGTTCTTGCAGATGCAAATGGTCAAGAGAAGGCTGAAGGAGAGGCAGTGGCCTGGGAATGTTATGCTGCTTTGCCTTTTTCCACCATTTCTATCAGACCAACCTGAAAGCATCTTCCAAATCCTGTTAGTTTTCGTGGGCAACTGCAATTAAAAAAAATCTGTGTAAGATGAAAATAGTTGTACACCAGGTTACAACAATTGAATGGTAAGAGGTATGTGGTAAGTATTCCTGGGTTTTCCCCCGAGGAGAAGGGAAAAACTGTCAGAGTATGATACACTGTGAAAGTAGGTTTTGAAATCCTTGGATTTTCTCCTTTAAAAAATGCACTCTCTATAACCTGATGGAAATTACTTTCTCTGGTATAACATAAGAACTAGTATTAATGGCCTCTCAGCTATGGGGGCTCTATGATTGCTATTATTAAAAAGAGACCAGAAGTTATAATTGCAAGAAAATGTGTTGAGGTGTGGGTTTTTTGTTCGTCTTTTTAATAAAAAATAAATAAAAGCGGGAGTAATGCTAGTACAGGTCAGCAGTATGCAGTGAGATGTCCATTTCCTATTCTGGAGGAGAGAAGGCTAGATGAACCAACAGGGGTGAAGTCTCTCCAGCCCCAGTTCTTTTTTACCCATCCACCTAAATACAGTGCAAGTGCTCAGCACTGCCATCCAGTTGACACGTACATACTGATTAGAGGGAAAATAATACTCATTCAGGTTTAAATACGCTGTCATCTGTGAATCCAGTTGTCAGAGCCCTGAGGGCAGTATTAGGCCTTAATGGCCCTAAGCAGTCTCACCAGGGACCCCTATCATCCCCGTCCATGGGCCCACAGATCCTATTTCAGCTCAGGCTGTGGCATCCTGTACTCCCCTAAGCTATGTTGTAGGTGGGCATGGATCCAGCCCTATTCCTGAATTGATGTTTGGATTTCCTGGATTGGCTTTGGATAGGAACTGTTGCTCTCGCCACCTGTTTCCTGCTTGCCTGGTTTAGGTTCTGCAGGCCTGTGCCCCAGCTGTACGGGGTGCTGCCTAGCCTGCATTGTGGCTACCTTCTGCTCCTGGCTCCTCCTGGAGGTAACACCAGTAATAGGAAGAAATATTTGTCATTAACAGCCTTAGCTGGTTCCACATAGCAAACCAATTTTTTTATGCCAGAAAATTTTTGTTGTGGCTTAAGCCATCAAGACAGCATTACGAGCCACTGGTGGGACTACAAAATAACTAAGACCATTCAGCTTCTCTCCAACACTTTGTTCTTGTAACGCACATTTCTGTTACAGGATGTTAGGAGTGGCCACCAGCTCCAGCACCTCCAGCCTAGGACTCCTCCTGTACAACTACTGGAGCTGAGCCTCAGGTACCTGGGTACCAGGGATGTGTGCACCCTGGGCTGAGGGATGTAGCTGCTGCTTTCCCACTTGCAGGTTCAGTCAGCAGCGAAGCTGAGCTTCTGTCCCAGAGACACATACAGGACACTGACATGGGTGGTCACAGACTGCCACAGACAAGTGGTACCTTCAACTGCATCTACACACAGGGCCCACATAAAACAAGCACAGGCAGCCACATCCCCTTCCTCCTCTTCATGTGGCAGAGTCAGAAGGTCACTAGTGTAGGCACGCACACAATGCCCTCTAGGTTCACAAGCACATACACATTTGTAGATCCCTTGAGTACTGGCACTGTCCGTCTAGTACCCCTGTCCAGATCCTGGCCCTCTTACCTGCCCCATTTGCTGGCTCATCCAGGTCAGTGCTTGCTAGCAAACATAGCGCTTGCACTCTTGTCCTACAGGTATCTCATACTCGCAGATCCCTCTGGATATAAGCGCAGACCCTTTGTCTGCTTAATACCCCAGCACTGACTCAGGCCCTTGTATTCACTGGCTCATCCAGCTTCAAGTCTGACGGCAAATGCACATTCACTCAAACCTGGTTTGGGGAACAGGCAGACACTTGGCCTCCCCATCAGCCAGCACCACGTACATGCAGTGTGATCCATGGTCCTGCTCCAGCTGCCAGCACTACGCCATGCCCTTGCTTTATTCATGCTAGTCCCCTCCAGTAGTTGATTTTTGGGACATAGTCCCACCCCAGTGGCTGATGGCTGGGACCCCTGCTGTCCAGTAGCTGACACCACAGCCCTGGGGCACCTACACCCCTGGTCTGACTCCAGTAGCGGACACCAATCCCACTCATGCCATTCCCCCTGTAGCTGACACCTAGTCTTTGCAGCACATAGACACACAGGACAGAGAGGGAGGTTGTGCAGAGATAGTGAAGAAAGGACTTAAGATCAGACAGACTGTGGTGATGAGCTTATTGATTGACCCCTTTTACATGCCTTTCTGCCTTCTCCCCCTTTGTTCCTCACTGCTCCCCCTTGCCCTGCACGTTGCCTTATCAGTTTGCAGATTTTCACCCACCCCATCCAACATGCTGGTCCCTGAGGTTTGCATCTAAGCAGCTGTAAAGTCTTATTTTTGCTGGTGGTGTGGGTTGACCCCGGTAGGCAGCTCAGGTCCACACAGGTGCTTGCTCACTCCTCTCTGGTGAGATGGGGGAGAGAAGCAGAAGGGTAAGAGCGAGAAAAGTCATGGGTTGAGATAAAGACAGTAAGGCAAAAGCTGTACACATGAGCAAAGCAAAACAAAGACTTCATTCACTACTTCCCAGCGGCAGGCAGGTGTTCAGCCATTTTCAGGAAAGCAGGGCTCCATGCGTAATGGTTACTTGGGAGGACAGACTCCCTAATTCCAAAAAATACCCTCCCCTTCCTTCTTTTTTCCCCAGCTGAGCACGATGTCATATGATATGGAATATCCCTTTGGTCAGTTGGGGTCAGCTGTCCTGGCTGTGTCCCCTCCAAACTTCTTGTGCACCCCTAGCCTATTTGCTGGTGAGAGAGAAGGCCTTGACACTGCGTAAGCACTGCTCACCAATAACTAAAACATGGTTGTGTTATCAACACTGTTTAGGTCACAAATCCAGAACATAGCACCATATGAGCTACTATGAAGAAAGTGAACTCTATTCCAGCCAAAAGCACTATAGCCTGCAGTTTCTTGATAGCGTAACAATTAGTGTGAATGACCAAGTTTTGGCCAGGTTTTATATCTGTGTGTTTGTCTCTCCTTTTTCTTTTCATCCCAATATAGGACGCGCTCAATCAGATGACTTTGCTGTAATAAACATTTTCACACTCCCTCATACACTGCCTGTCTTATCATTTCTCCATCATTTTTCATAGAATCAGAATGGTTTGGGTTGGAAGGGACCTCAAAAATGATCTAGTTCCAAACCCCCTGCTATGGGCAGGGACACCCACCACTAGACCAGGTTGCCCAAAGCCTCATCCAGCCTGCCTGTAACACTTCCAGGGATGGGGCCTCCACAGTCTCTCTGGGCAACCTGTTGCAGTGCCTCACCACCCTCACAGGGAAGAATTTCTTCCTAACATCTAATCTAAATCTACCCTCCTTCAGCTTAAGGCCATTACCCCTTGTCCTGTCACTACACTCCCTGATAAACAGTCCCTCCTCATCTTTCCTGTAGGCCCCTTTGGATATTGGAAAGCCGCAATTAGGTCTGCCCTGGAGCCTTCTCTTC